TTCGACCATTAGTTGTACAGACACTAAAACATTACTGCCATTTCTGAAATGTCGTGACTCTGTAGGAAACATTGCACATTGGGACTGAGTGCTGTTAGGACAATCGACATGATTGATTGATTTTTGAGAACCTATATTTAAATTAATTTAAAAGTAAAACAAGCTCTTAAGACAACATATTGAGAGCTTTTCATACTGAGTTAGTCTGTTTGCTGTTGGTGAATCGCTTGTCCCAATGACCCTAATGTTTTAACTTTTTTTTTTTTGTATTATTTCTTCTATTCTATATTTGTGCTTTGGTGAAAAGGGAGAGAGACATGAGAAAAAATGCAACAAACAAACAAAAATGCATAACCATGGTGAAAGAGTGAAACCACAAAAGACTTCTAAAGACCTCACAGACTGTGAAATAAAAGCATCAGTCCTCTACCTGAAGGGAGGTGCTTTAATTTTTGAAAGCAGCAAACTGAAAAGAAAGAGATGGGAACTCTCTATACAGACACTTCCATTGTTAGATCAATGAGATGTAAGACCCGTTATCTTCCAATGTGCATTAAATAATTTTCCTCATGGAACACCGATGAAAAGATAAAATACAGTAATTATGTGGCTTTGGGGACCTCTACAAAGGGGAGACTGTGTGAAAAAATATACTGACATACTTACTTGGTTCTTTGTCAAAAAATTGGATTTGAGAAAGTCAACAGACCTCATTAGAGGGGTACTCTCTCAGTTCCTACTGGAAAATAATATGAATGGATTTCCTTTTTTGAAGAGGACCTGCCTTCGCAAACTGCTTCATTGTGCCTTTTGGTGACTCAGAAAGCCTCTTTTTTCATATCTCATTAAGTCTGCAGTTAACAGAGGAGGTGATTAGCTACTCCCATCACTCAGAGCTTCGAAGAATCGCCCCGTTCTGCAGGAAGGAGACCCAGCACAGATGCTGTGTGGATTGTAAGAGACAGAGACAGGATATTGTTGTAGTGCAATCCTACTCATTCATCAGCCTCATCGCCAATATGTGAGGGATGAGAACTGAGTGATAAACCTCTTTTTCCTTGGCTAAGCTTGAATGAGGTTCTTGTGGCTGTTGTTCTGGTTCATGGTCTGGGTGAGACTGGAGCAGAAGGAGAAGAGTGGGGCTGGATTTCAGTCTAGCCCACAGAGCAATTAACTTTTTTAATTTTTACCCTTTTTTTCCTTTTTCATTGCAACCTTGCTATTAAAAACCATGCCAAAATCAATTCAGCATTAATTGTAAGACTGTAAGTCTAAGGGCTTGCAAACCTGAAGGTTGCAGGCTTCATTCATTCATTTTGTTATTGTCATTTAGCAGAATCTCTTACCCAGAGCAACTTACATACAGTGGGTTACAATCTAATCCATTTATACAGCTGGATATTTACAGAGGCAATTGTGGGATAAGTACCTTGCCCAAGGGTACAATAGCAGGGAATCAAACCAGCAACCTTTTGGTTGCAAGTCCTGCTCCTTACCACTACACCACACTGCTGTTATAAATTTATATGAGGCAATAAAAATGATAATAATTGCTGAATATGAAGAACACGTTACCAGAGCATTTAACCATACGGAATGTAATAAAATTTGAATAAATGGACACATAAAATGTATTTTAATGTTTATATTGTGGAGTGAGCTATAGGATGCTCAGGCATATAATCTAAAGTTTCAAGAGGCTTTGATGAAGATGTGTGGCCATTTTCAGCTATACCAAAGCTACAGACTTAGCAACAATCATCTTAAAGATAATATTTTATTTTTTAGCCATTTGGTTTGCCAGCTGTTTTCAGACTGACGTATTTTCTGTTACACTTACCTGCTACACACATTGTTGTGATTTCAGTGCTGTGTTGAGAAAAGTACTATGGTATCATATTACAGATTAATACAGAGATACACTTCAGCTTTCACATGCTTTGTGGTGGCACGTAAATACAGAAGAGGACAGGTTTGAATCTGAGCTCTTGCATTAGGAATATTTCAGCCCTATCGCTCTCTGCTTGCGCAAAAACCTTGCATGTTGTGCTGGTTTCAGGAGTGTGTCCCTGTTCTGTCTGCTCTGCGAGGTTGGAGACAGAGCGATGAATTAATTCCCTTCCCAATATAACGATTCCTCCGGAGTTCCGAGTGTTTAGTCATCTGAGAGGGGCTGAGAAGCCTCCTGGACAGGGTACCCCAGCTTTAGACTTTATACAAGGTGACCAGAGACGCTGCACCTGTAGCGTGTGCACTGACTCCACTGGCATCACCTCGCTGGTGCGAGATTAAACTCTGGAATCGCCGGCGAGGGCCAGCGCGGCGGAATGACGAGTATCGGAGAGGACAGACCGCTGAAGCAACGAGAGAAACATCACACCGTTCGCCAGCTTTAGAAAGAGCAATTTCTGCGATGCCCTTTTGGTGACAGCGTGGGGCAGCCAGCTTAAATTCCGACTCCCTGACTCCCTGTACCGGCGACATTCACGATGTGAGTCAGGACAGCTCACTCGCAAAGAGCTGGGAGTTCAGCGGTAATACTCATTACCAGACCTGGCATAAAGCCGAGATAAAGCCATTGTCACTGCTTAAAACATCGAAAAATAGGCCTACTGAAATATGTGGGTTTTCTAGTCGAATAACGAATTTTATTTTTAAAAAGCTTTACTTTTTTTAGATTACTTCAACAATTTCACGAGTTTGGCTCTTCTTGGAATACGTTGTGTAGGCTAAAAAAAAATCTGAAATTGGTTAGACTTGTAAACCAAAGCGTGGAAAAACATTTCGTCTTTCCTGTCTTTCCTAACTCTGTCAAGACGCAGGAAATGAAGTCTTTACAGGAAGACGCACGCTGTGAATTAGCACTTATAATTAAGTAGAATAATCACTTTATTAACCAGCAAGCAATTAACGATAGACCTGCCCCTGTCACATTTCAGCGTTTCATACATTTAGAGTTTTCATTTAATTACACCTCAGCGCTCCAATCTATTTTGTTGCATGAAAACACACACCATGAACATGGACCGCAAACAAAAAATATTCGCGAGGGATTTTTTGTACACCACTGAGCAGCACGAGATGCACAGAAATAGGCACAGCGCGCGCTAAGAATGAACAAAGCTGTGAAACGTGTGATGTATTCGAGAGATGACCATCTCATGCTTATCCCCTGCGAAAAGAAAGACTCGCCTTGAGACTGAGACGGATGTTTGGTATTGTTGGTTGCCAATCTGACTGTTTTCATTACTGAAATATGACTACAATAGTTTTTTCACTTTTTTTATCTCCTGCATAATCCCACTCACTTTGTGAAAGACAAGCCGTGATGCCTGTTATATTCTTTTAAATCCTTGGAAATACGAGTATGAATGGATAGTCCAGATCTGGCAGAGGGTTATTGCACAAAGAGCATTGTTTTTTTTTTATTTCTGAGGCACGGTTACTGTATGCAAATCACATCACAAATGGCATTCATATCTACCTCTGCAGGTGGAATGGTGGCATAATAATGAATAGCGAAGTTATATATAAATATGATATGAGTATAAATGCACAAACATTGGTGTATCACACTGGCACAGGTTTAAACACTGCCTGGGTCAGCAAAGGCTTTTTTCTCACTGATCACAGGCTTATAAACACAAGGCTTTCAGTTAGTTGGTCAAAATGAGACAATGCTAAGGGATTTAATTAGACATACTCAGTGAAAATAAACACCAGTAACAGCGCAGGGACATTTGCCATGTATTTATATTCAGTGAAACGAATTCTATTTTTGTTCTCAGCAGGAGTGTAACTAAAGACAGAATTTGAATCCTTTGTCAGTGAGACATGAGGGTAGGGGAGGGGGGGGGATGTTTAATCTAACCACAATGTGCTTTTGTCTTGAACATTGAGTTTATAGTCTATGAAAATGTTACGTTCTTATGCATCATTGCAATTTTGGTGTGTTGGGGGATGGTGAAATCCTTCTTTGGTTGCCATTAGTTACGTGAGCACTAGTCTTTTGCTTGTAGAAATAATGGGGGAGGAGGGGTCACTTTACATTTGAGGCCTTAGTGTGACATCATACCAAATCATACCTCATTATGCACAACTGTGACATTGCTTGGGTGTGGTGTTACAACACTGTAAGGATGTAATTCTGACATGGTGTTAGTGTAACGCTGTGAAATCGTGTATATGTCATGGTATGACATTGTGCGGATGTAATGTTATGACATTGTGTTGATGTAACATTAACATTTTGTGTGTGTAATGGTATGATATTGTGTGGGTGTAATGCTGTAACATTGTGTGTGTAATGCTGTAACATTGTGTGTGTAATGGTCTGACACTATGTGGCTGTAATGGTCTGACATTGTGCAGATGTAATGCTATGACATTGTGTGTGTAGTGCTGTATCATTGTGTGGATGTAATTCTGAGACATTACATGTGTGTAAAGCTGTAACATTGTATGATGTTTAAATGCATAGGCCCAATGAATTATCTGTGTAAAGGAAACAGAATTTAAAATTAAGCATCTTCTCATGGCAAGACTAGAATGAGAAGCATATGCTCGGCAAAGGTTAGTGACAGAGGCCATTATTTGTTCAATCATATAACCATGTATTGTGCTACTGTAATGTATTAGTCTAATGTATTTGTGGGAATACTGAGATATATGAAGCCTTTCAGTTCACTGGTAAGACAGGAGCAATATCAAGATGTTAAGAGACATCTGTGAGAAATCTGTATGAGGTGCAGGATTTACATTTTTTTTACATTACATTGCTGGCATTTAGCAGACGCTCTTATCCAGAGTGACTTACATCAATTACAGGTTTTTACAATGTTATCCATTTATACAGCTATTTACTAAGGCAATTGTGGGTTAAGTACCTTTCCCAAGGGTACAGCAGCAGTGCCCCCATGGGGAAAGGAACCAGCAACCTTTTGGTTACAAGTTCTGCTCCTGAACCACTATGCTACACTGCCGCCCACAAAACACACACCTCCTTCGAGCCGGATTCAAACCAGCGACCTAAGGATGACAGTTTGTTCTCTACAGTCCTCCGCTCTACCAACTGAGCTATCGAGGGGACTATGATTGGATCTGGGCTGTGAAATGTAGAAATCAAATGAGAACCCTAAAATGGTAACAAGCCAAAGCATGTGGAGGCAAAAAGATTGCACATATACAAAGACATTCTGTAACTCACAGTCGTGGATGGCCACTCCTCTCCAATCAATCTTCAAAGTGACTTTCCTTGCTGGGAATTTCCAGTTTTCATTGGCGGTAGATAGAACATTCTATTACCTTTACTGGTGTTTACAGGGTGAACATGTCTGGGACTCCTGTAACCGGCTCATGTTGAACTTTTGGCTGTGCGTTTAAGTAGACTAGAACTTGGCAAATGTCCTCTGGTACAAACTCTGTTTAATCACTGATATAGACTCCCCAGTTGTAGCTGTTAAGGTATATAATGGAGAATCTGCTTTTTGACTAATACTAATACTAATGTGTCATAGTGACTATTGCGCAAATAAATAGCAATCTGCAGAATATTATCAGCCTTGCATCCATAATTATCAGGCCAGTGCTCAGAGCAGCATGCCTTACAAACAGAACGTCATGTTGATTGATATGTAGAGATTGATGATTAGTTACATTGATATTAAAGGCATACTCATCACATTGGTGGGTTTAGGAGCAACGCACATCCCCCAATAAATTATAGACTAGAAAATATAAGTGTGTAACTGATTTCTCTGTTTTAAGTCTTCTTAATTGTTTTTGCTGTGTGTACATAGTGGAGTTTTTTTCAGTTTCCTTTCTTTTTTTGATTGACATATTTCAGCTGACATTTTTGACATAAGCCAAGTCGCAATGCATTGCAAGCTGTTTGGGGCTGATTGAAATTTCGCAGTCCAGCTTTCTGTGAGGTAATATGTATTTTTACATGAGACACAGAGAGTGACAGGATGTGTTCACGGTTATGAATGAAGGGCAGAGAAGGTAGTGGCGCCTCATTGAAGGTCAATCTGTCACACATGGCTCATGGGAAAAGATGTCCCTTGCATACACCTCCCTCTCCCTCTCCCTCTCTCTCTCTCTCTCTCTCCCTCTCTCTCTCTGACTGTAACACCCCATGACTGGTGGCAGCTCGGATGAGCACCCAGGCTATTGTGATGTCACATGAGCAGAACCCGAGTATTCTAAAGTTGGCTGTCAGCTTTGTGAACATCTCGGTGACATGCTGTTGGCCTTCTTTGACACCCTCAGCGACCCCCCAAGCCCCTCAAGGACGAAAGAGGAGGAAGAGGAACAAGGGTGGGAGAGGGCCTTCCATCATGCTGGATACAGTGAAATCAAAGTGACTTTGTGTATGGTAACAGCCCAGTTTGCCTGGATGATATAAAGGAAGTGGTTATGAAAAATAGTCACGTTGCCGACCTACTTCACTGGCCAAACCTCCCATTTACTTTTGACAAAGCTTCATGTGCAATACAGCCTTCAAAGAGAATTACAGCTCCTTCTTCTTCTTCTTCTTCTTCTTTAAAACTGTGAGAATACACACACATACACACACACACACACACACACACACACACACACACACGCACATAAACACACACACACAGATTACTCTTTTTAGCTTTCCACCAAAAACGCCTGAATCCTGTTTCTCAAAAAATTAGATGTAAAAATATTAAAATGACAGGAAAAACAGAAAATAAAATAGAAAATTTTCAATTTTGAAATGTCATTCATTATTTTCAGTGGATGCCAATTGTACTGTACTATTGGACTGCTCCACATGGGAATGCTATGATGTATTGCTCATACCTGAGGTGAGCACATACAACACCCAGTATTCAGGGCCCGACTACTCCAGGGTGAAATCTGATATAATGAAATGTAGCTCTCAGGCACAAAGAGTGTGGATATATCATGCAAGTAAACATTGCTTATGAATCATTGAATTATCAGATTATGCTCATGAATCATTGTTTTGCCACAAGTGGCATGCTGTAAGATATAGGAATGTAATTCTGTCTATATTCACATTCTCATATGGACATATATTATAATACACTGAGGGATTCCTTGTTCAGGCCTAGAATATATTGTAAATCTAATTCAAATATACAGTATTTATATATAGAAATATTGCAATATATCAGAAATACACTCCAACAAACCAAAACAATAGCAGTAGCAATAATTCACCTATTTTAAACATATTTATTGAGCTAAAAATATATTCTGTAAAATGTATTCTCAATACATAATTTTTTGTATGGGTTACTGTGATGTAGTCACCATACACTGTTGCATTGCTGTGCTCATAATACTGTCCATCAGCTTAATGCTTGTTTACTGCACTACTGGATATTCTGTCCCTGTTCATGTTGCATGCCTGTAATATGTATTTTCTCTTCCAATATGCGTCTTTCTGCGATGACCTTGCCAGTTGCGTTCTGCCAAAATGAACAAATGAATGAGGAAGTAGAGAAATAAATAAATAAGATGGTTGGCTGACAGTCAATGTTGACTGCACTCGGCGCAAACATGAATAATTGTTATTGCCGTTAGAAGCTGGGTGTGAATTGCAATGAAGTTTGAAGAGCGACACAGTGACTGCAGGCATCTCCTTCACTTTCGCAAATCATTGGAAGCGTGCGCATTTATTGCGCATGTGACAACTGTAATTATTCATTAAATGAAGTAACATAATTTAACCAATGAGCTCTAATTACTTGTGAAAAACAATGTTTTTAAAAAATCTTCAGTTCAATTCCTGTTCAACAGCATGACAAAAAAAGGGAGAAAAGGGTCCTGGGTTTATGAGGTAAAATACTGCTTAAAGAGCTGAAAGGAAATCTCTTTCATGCCCAATTTGGCCTTCAGCAGCCCGCTTGGAAGATGTCAAAGGAAGTGCCGTTGCCTGTCAGAGTAACAAAAATATATTTCCAATTTAGTCATCAAAAGACGACACAATTAACATCATTCAGCAGCTTTTAAGTGTTAAAGACAATCTTTTTTTCAAGCGTTAGAACTGAAGTGAAAAATGATTCTTCAGGGGAGACAGACAGAGAACTGGTAAGACATTGCATAACACAGAAAATATAGTTGAAATGTGTCATTCTCCAATGGTGGAACAGAGTCCAGCTTTGCTCACGTAAACAGATGAACGGTAATCAGTCTTGGATGTTTTGTAACAATGGCCTTCCTGGCCTCTTCCTACAAGTTTTCATCTTCATTCAGTTATGAATATTGCTTATGACATTCCCAGTGCATTTCCTCCAGTGTGCTTTATTGGTCGTGTTTGATCATCCAGTATGTGATGGCTGAGATCAAAATTATTGAATCAACAGTTAGCTTGATGGCGGTCAACTCAGAAATCACATTCAATTCATAACTGCATATGACCACTTGCAGTTCACGCTGCAAAGGGAAAAAACACCATTCTGTCACATCTACTTTAAAACTGACTCAAGATGTGATTCTGGAACCAGTTTGCCCTGAAGAATATGTCAGTTCTACACATATGTCATTACTCTCTGTATAGCTTTGTCTGAACAGACCTGAGGAGGACCTGGCTGTGTTGTTCTCATGCAGATAACATGTTATGTAGATAAGTATTTCCACTCATTTGACAGAACGCTCCATCTTCGACAACTAACACACTGTATAATCTTGTGTGTAAGAGTGACTTCAGTTACATCATGGCCAATTGCATGTCAGACTCCAAAAACTGTATTGAGCATAATATCAGTCCCTGACATGATTGGAGCCAACAAACCAGACTGAATGCTTAACAAAGCACCACCTCCACAATCCCTGTGCCACACACAACAGCAGTAAAGTCATTTAATTGTCAAGGTTGCTCTCTGTTTATCCTGTTTCCTGTGACCTGCGCCTTATGTTTTTCCACCTTCCTTTATCTGCTGGATGGTGATGGTAAGCAGAACTGTGGAGCTGGGTCCGTGCTTTGGAAACAGCCGTCCCCTGGCGCAACATTACATGACAAGCAACAGAGAACGAATGACATGCATGTCTGTAGCCTGCCAGGAAGGAACGCCAAGGCCTTAGAGGTGATTACCAAAGACGTGCTAAGCTGGCTAAAATGTGCCCCGTCTATCAGATCGCTACATCCGCTAATTGCCAGCACAGCAACTGAACCGACAGTTGCTTGCGACATTACAGAAGTCAGGTAGTGTATATTAAGTTCGGAGGCGCTCCGCTTTGCAGAAAATAATACAGATTGCTTCTGTACATCACAACGCATGTGTTACGGTCCGTTACGCAAATGAGATATTTTCTGTCCTTTTTTTGTTTGGCATCCAAATGTGGAGCTATTCTCCGAGGAGGAGGACGAGTGAGTAAGCCGCTGTTTAGTCATCGCGCTCCATGTTTGACCGTCCAATAATTGGCTTTACATAAAACTGACTCTGGCCATCCGTTAGGGTTTCCTCATTAACGTCTGCTCTTTTAATCTGAGTGGCATTTCAGCACCTTACGGATGCGTCTCATTATGAAATAACAATTAGATGCAAGAGTCTGATCTCTGAGGCAGGAGCTCCATACAGAATGAGTCACAAGCTGACAAATATTTCAGGTAATTCAATCAGTCGACAGGGAATAAAGTGCGCTTTCGGTCACTACTTAATAGAAAAGTTTTCTTTATGCAGCAGGGTAGAGTTACTTTATGTTTAACACATGAACAAAACAGGCGCATACACTAAGAACAGAGGCATAGGTGTAGCTACTAACTTGGCCTTTCATATGTTCTGTGACTTGCACAATGACTTTGTGACTATGAAGTAATTTTCAGTGTAGTTTTACAAGAAAGTTCCTACCCACTTGACAGAATGTCCTTTTTTGCAATTTTTTTCCATGTGGACATAAGTAGGCTATGTACCATTACATAATTATCATGACGTGAATGTAGGGTCAGGTAAATTAGTAGCAATTTAGTTATGTTTATTTGCTTGGAAGTTGCCGTTGATCAGAGGTACTTAGAAGGCCATTGTGACAAGACATGCGAAGTGACGGGCAAGAGAACAACTATTTAACAAGGAAGTAGCTACAGAA